CCTAAGAAGCAGAATTCGTTTGCAGTCTCGTCTGCTGGTTGGATTATAACCTTCATGTTGTGGAAAGAGAGATTTCGACTTTCCGACCGAGGGAACCCGATTTTGAGGTATGTATTGAACCAGTGCATCAGCGGATCGAACCGTTGCTCGTCGGTTTGTTTGTACTGTTCTTTTCCGGAAATCAGTCGGCTAATTGGCAAAGTTTAGCAAGGCAAACGTAGGATGTCAGTTAGACAGCGGTGTCTGTTGGGCAGCACATTTTCCCACACACTATGTCGCTTTCAAAAGCACCTTATACCTAAAAGTCGTTAATAAGATGTTGGGTTCGCTTTCCGCTGCCACCAGTGTAGTGTCCCGAGGCTTCCAATGGGGTAGTAGAAGGCCTAAGTGAGGTTGATACATGTATTCTGAAAACAATAGGAGAAATAGGAGCCTGAGCCTGGCCCAAAGGCCAGCCCACGTGTACTGGGCCTATACAAGTTCTAAAGTGATAGCCAAACGTCAGACAGTCACATAACCAAAGCATTACAGTATGTAAAGCTGGATACATGTGTTCCAAAGAAGACAAGGCATCTGGGTCCGAGCGTGGCCCGACGGCCAGCCCACGAACACAAAGACCAGGTATATCGTGAAGAGACCACAGAACGTCAGATAGTCGCAAAAAAGCATTCCAGTAATGTCTTTTTCTTTTTTAAGTCTTTCTCGTGCCCGAAATCAAATTTTTCGGTGCTGCAATAAACCCCCCCATAAGCCATTCGCGCCAATCATAAACCACGGTGTGGTTGCAGGAATACGACTACCTTTCTCAAAAGCTTTTACGAGACCTAAACTTCCGTTCCATATAATGGCGGAAAATCAGGACCGCACACATCTGTTGACCATCGATGTCTTCTAGTACTAGACTTGGATCACTGGTCTAAAAGAGATTTTGTACAAGGAAGATAGGGCCATACACAATCTTGTATGCAAGGATGTGCAAAGTGGTGTTAGTCCTAACATCTACATGCAGGTTCAGCAAGGAAAAATTTTCGCAACGACTTTTCCAGGTAGTTCACGGCAGTGTCGCTCCCGCTGCTGATAGTCCTTGCGGGACACAAGTATAGTGTTATGCGAAACCTAAATACTACTTGCGATTCTTTTGATGAAAAGAATGTAGAGTTTCTCACGCAACATGGATACTTGTCCAAACGAGTGAAACCTAAATAGAAGTCGTTAGGAGTAGGCGAGTTCGCCAGAGATCTGATAATCCTATAAACAAATATGTGCAATATATACGTTTTTGCAGACTAGGTTCTTATCCTATATTTTCACTTAGAAATACTGCAGGAAACGCACTCGTCATCACAACTTTTTATGCTTTCCTTTAAAGTGGCGCCTGTTAAAACTGCATGGGGTTCTTCGGAAAGCCTGTCACGGATCGGACTGAGTTTCACTTGTGAATGGCAAACGTGGGCGCTACCTCGGAAGGTAGATTCTATCATACCTTATACCATGCTTCAGATGCCATAATTCGACGGAAATTACTTGTCGAGGGCGAAAGCGGGCTGGATGACAGAAGATTTGGTGTTTTGCTTAAGGAGTACTTACATTGGGTCACTTCCGATGATACACCTGAAGCAAGGTATGGGAAACTTTCTGACTGTTATGAAATCTATAGTGATGCTGCGTGTCAAACAATATTAGAAAAAATTTTCCAATGTGAAAATGCTATGGAGCAAGCTCTCCTAATCCAGTTGATGAACATGGAGCAATCAAGTCGATATTCCGAACTTTTGGAAGAAATTGGTAAATACGCATTTACACAAGATAAACAGCTAGATAAATCCATTGAGGCGGCTCGCATTGACATCACAAACCAAAGGGAGCGTCTGAAGGAAGCCAGAGTTATCCGCAAAAACCGCCAAGGTACGGCTCACATCCCCATCTGCATGGTTTTTAGAGTATCATAACCTGGCCAAGATTGTACAGGAGTACCCAGAGAGGCAAGAGAGTTTAAGGTGAGGACTGATGATAACCATGTGCTCTGTCTTTACATTGTCACTTAAATGTTAAACTAATTTAGAAAGCTTCAAAAAATGCGGATTGAATTGAACAACCTCGAGAGCATCAACAGAATGTACGATGACCGCATCGATCTCCGGAAGAAGCAGTTCCATCTATTTCTTGTTGCTCTCCGCGACTTACAAAAGCTGGTTGACCGTATGTTCTCCCTTTCGGAAGTGTCGTTCTTGTAATTTTTTAAACTAATCCGAACCCTTAATTGGTAGAGGATGACCCGATTACCGATCCGGATGACCAAAAGAATGTTAACATTGATGATGCAATGGATACGTCTTAACGAATGTCCTTCATTGATGTACATATCTTAACTGCTCAAATTAATGTGCTCGTGTGTCCCTAGTTGTCCCTCTATTTCGTGCGAACTTTGATAATTTGACCTTTATGTAAGCATCACGAAAGCTGGTGCTGCTCCCCAAACGTCGGGGGCAAATATTTTATTGCGTTGGAGCACATTGAGTTAAAAGACAGATCTTTACAAT